GGCTGGAGCTGCTGGAGCTGCTGGAGCTGCTGGAGCTGGGAGTTCAGGGATGAGGTAGCTACAAGGAGAGAAAGGGAACGTGCAGTTGAAACACACACGACCACATCTGGCGGGGTCTCTGACAGCTTGCTCTGTGCGAGCAGAAAGAGTTTGCTCTCCCGCCCTCATCTCTTCGGTGCTGAGGTTGCGGGGGGCGGTGGGGGCGCTGGGAGAAAAGAGGCGCTTCGTGGGGGAGATTTTAAAATTTGGAGAGGCCCAGCCTGGCGCCCATCAGGCGTGGCTTTCAAGGGTATGGAGCGATGGCAGGCAGGGCTGTGCCAGGAACGGAGTAACGTTTACCTGCTTTCTCTCTCTCTCTCTCTCTCTCCCGTCCCGCACTGGCTTGGGAAAGACACTGAGGCTTTCAAGATTGCCTCTCGAGTGTAAAAGTTCAACCCCTTTAATTCTTTTGGCACATGCCCAACTGGAGTTAAGAACAGAAACTAAATTGTTTGCAATCTGCTTTTGCTCAAGAGTCCCATCAGTGGCGTCTCCGCCACCTGCTACTTCAGACCGCGCCAATTTGCTTAGACATGTTAGTTTCGAGTTTCTACACTTTTGGTGGGTTTTTTTTTCTCCTTAAACATGGTACATGCTTCTCGGTTTTGCAGAGACAAAAGTCTGAGTCTGAATATTTTGCCTGCTGATCAAAGAGACAGGGCCCCCTCACCCTCCACCTCCAAACTGGAAGGGTACAAGTAGGCTACTGTGAACCCTACAGTGGTAACTAGACATGTTAGCACCTCAAAAACAGGCCAGCAACTGAGAGAATGAAATGATCTTTGTAAGATTTCCTTGTTAGTTGAAAAGTAGGACCAGCTTCTTAACACTGAACACGCTAAATTTGTTCTCATATGCCCATCTACTACTGGACAATTTCTGCAGCAGGAAGACTGTTAGTTGGGCCAAAGAAGGATGTAGAGAAAATTACTGTTACAAGTTCACTTCCTTCTTCTCCCAAATCTCAGTCTAAAAGCTTTCCAACAAACTTACCAACTAATATAAGGATCAGTGTTGAACCTGTAGGCCTTGGCTGAAATGTTTTCCTGCTTCTCCCTTACCTAGAATTAGTCAACATTTTCAACAGTAATGTTTGTAACATTAAACTAGTTCCTATTTTTTTTTTTTTTAAATGCTCCTTTAAGGACGCCTGGGTGGCTCAGTCAGTCAAGTGTCTGCTTTTGGCTCAGGTCATGATCCCAGAATCCTGGGATCGAGTCCTGCATCAGGCTCCTTGCTCGGCGGGAGCCTGCTTCTCCTTCTGCTTTCTACTCCCCCTGCTTGTATGATCTCTCTCTCTCTCTGTCAAATAAATAAATAAAATCTTTTAAAAAATGCTCCTTTAGAAAACATCTACTGGTTCTGTAAAGTGGAATATTGCATTACCTGCCTTCACACAACAAATAGGTTCTTGAGAAGCATGTGCACATTGAACTGTATATTGAGGACACCCAGAGAACTTGGTAAGAAAATCAAGCAGTGACTCTGTAAATTTAAGAATCGTTTTGTTAAATTTATTGAACATCAGCAATGCACTAGTACTGTGACTAGGGATATATAGGATTTAAGGAGACAATCCTGCCTTCAAGGAGTTCATAGTCTATTTCTGGAGTTAAGATTAACTCATAAAAAACAATCGATTCTGTGGTACTGGCACAAAAACAGACACATAGATCAATGGAACAGAATAGAGAGCCCAGAAATGGACCCTCAACTCTATGGTCAACTCATCTTTGGC